ACTCAAACAGACCCAAATTTAGGAGGGGTGCCAGCTGGTTCTAAAGCCATCACACATGGCAGCCCAAAGACCAGCTTTAGGAAGGATGTGCACTAACCAGGCTGATGCTGCTTCAGGCGAACCTGGCTTCACATGGCCCCACTGTGGGACAACCTGGGCCCACCCTACACGTATGAGGGTTATTCTTTACTGAGAATTCCCTGCAGACCTAGGTAATCTGCAAGAATTTCCAGGTTACACAAACTGTACTTGATTTAAACATGTTTAAGGAACCCCTCTGAAGAGATCCTCCAGAATTCAGTCCCTGTCTCAAGACTGGGTGGGTGTTTCAGGGCAGCTTCTGGAAGGTGTGGGGTGGTCCCCAACCCATCACACCTACAATTATAAGGCAACAGGATCACCACCACCACAAAACCCAAACACAGTTCTTACCCACTACATGGCTCTAGTCAAACTAACACTAACTACAATTGGTTGGAGGTTTGTGTGGCAAGGACTTCATTTGATGATCACACCAGCACTGTGAAGTAAATACATCCCAATTTACATAGGAGGAAACTGAAACTCAAGAGACTTTCCCAGGATCACACAACTGGGAAGTGGTAGATCTTTTGATCTACCACTTGAACCTTGACCACCCTGCTCCCAGTCCAAGTAGGGGGTCTCTGGCCCTCTGGTCCATGTGCCAAGTTGGGCATTTGTACCTATGATAGAAAGCAGCTGTGGTGAGAACCATGGAGAATTCATTGGTCTTCTCAGCAGTGTAGCCCCAGCCACCCAGGGCCTCATCCCAGAAGTGGCTCCACGTCAGAAAGCCCACCATCCTCTCCGGGAAGCTCTGCCACACCACAAAGGCAAAGTCCACCTGGAGAGGGATTTAAGTAAGCTGTGAGGAAGGACTTCCTGACCACTAGGAACATCCAGAGATGTGGAGGCAGGGCCAGCTTGGCTGAGGGGCTGGGAGCAGGACTCAGGAGAGGAGCCATTACTTGGAATTGGCTATAAGTATAGCATAGAAGTTCCCAGGGGATCCTCAAGGGAACTTTCTCAGCTAGAAGCCATGAAAACTGCTCTCTTTAAAAGAGTCTGTGGAAAGACCCTATTAGATTCTTAAAGAGGAGAATGTCTGGCTTGCTGGGGTGGTTTCATGACCTCTGATCACCCAGCTCCGGGAAAGCAAGGTGCTGCCAAGGCCCTCTGGCTCTGTCCTCACCCTTACTGGGCTCCTCCTGGGCCCAGCTCTCACCTCGCTTGTGGAGAGACTGCTGCGGGCATCAAGGCTGAGAATGGCGTCAGTGCTGATGCTGCTATATGGGAAGAAGCGATCACTGACCTGCATTAGGAGGGGGTGAAGGAGACTCAGCCTTGGGACAACTCCCTCTACCCCTCAATATGCAATAAGTAGGATTCCTCAGGCTTCCTATCAAGCCATGGCCATGAACATAGGAAGGCTGCCTGAAACTTGCTTTGGGACCTGAACAACTTATTTGACTTCTCTGGATTTCAGTTTCCCCTTTGGTAAAATGGGACAGTTGGTCTCTAGGAGCCCTTGCAGTTTTGACAGGTCAGGATTCCTCTACTGTTGTGTTGTCATACTCCATCAATCCTGGGAAGGTTGTCAAAAAATCCCTCATTCGGGCTGGGTGCAGTGGCTCACACCTGTAATCCTAGCATTCTGGGAGGCCAAGGCAGGTGCATTGCTTGAGCTTAGGAGTTCGAGACCACCCTGAGCAAGAGCCCTGTCTCTATTAAAAATAGAAAAGCTAGCTGGGTTTTGTGGCGGGCCTCCATAGTCTCAGCTACTTGAGAAGCTGAGGCATGAAAATCATTTGAACCCAAAGAGTCTGAACTTGGGTTTGAACTCGCCACCTCCGGCATATGGGGCTGGTGCCCTACCCTTTTGAGCCACAAGTATTGCCCAAGTCTGAAGTTTCTGTTAGCTATGATGATAGAGCCAGAGCACTCTACCCAGGGTGACAGAGTGAGACGCTGTCTCAAAAAAAAAAAAAAAATTCCTCATTTGAGCTGGGAACAGTGGCTCTTGCCCATAATCCTAGCACTCTGGGAGGCTGAGGGGCAAGGATCACTTAAGGTCAAGACCAGCCTAAGCACAAACAAGACCCCATCTGTACTAAAAATAAAAAAATCAGGCTCGGCCCCTGTGGCTCAAGCAGCTAAGGCGCCAGCCACATACACCTAAGGTGGCGGGTTCGAATCCAGCCCGGGCCCGCCAAACAACAATAATGGCTACAACCAAAAAATAGCCAGGCATTGTGGTGGGCACCTGTGGTCCCAGCTACTTGGGAGGCTGAGACAGGAGACTCGCTTGAGCCCAGGAGTTGGAGGTTGCTGTGAGCAGTGAAGCCATGGCACTCTACCCAGGGGGACAGCTTGAAGCTCTGTCTCAAAAAAAATAAAAAATAAAAAATAAAAAAATCAGCCAGACTTGGTGGCACATGACTGTAGTTCTAGATACTTGGGAGGCTGAGGCAGAAGGATTGCTTAAGCCTCAGAGTTGAAGGTTGTAGTAAGCTACGATGACACTGCTGCACTCCAACCTGGGCAACAGATTGAGACTCTGTCTCAAAAAACAAAAAAAACCCTTATTTGAAAGAAACAGATCTCCTAATGCTCTGGAAGCACAATTTACAAGTGCCAGGGAAGGAAGACTCATTTCTATTAGGCCTGCAGCTGAAACCTACTGTGCGATTTCTTCAGGCGAAGGGTGCCCTGTGTGTGCCCTTCTCAGTTCCCAGCATGAGCCCACCCCTTTCATGGCCCTTCCCCTCCCTCACCTTCCTGTGCCCGTTCATGACTGTCAAGGGCACTGCTGTCTCCGGCCACCTGGATGGAAGTGGCTGCTCGTTGCTCCAGAGAACCAAGATCTAGGAGGTAAGGAGAGGGGGGGAGGGTCCCTGAAGTTTAGGATGTGGGGCAGAAGGGGGTGGACAAGGCAGCCACATGTGTGTGCATGGGAGGATGGCTTAGTTAGATCCAAGGTCTTTTCGTTGCTGCCCTGTCCTTGCCTCTGGGCTTCTGGAAAGCAGGAATTCCGGTGACAAGAAGGTAGCTACCTATGGTATGGTAGCCCCCATCCTCGGCCAGGCTCAAATGGCCTGTGTGTGGAGCCACCTAGTCTGTGCCCTGGCTGAGCTAACTGCTTCCTTCCTCTGCAAGTACTCTCCAGAGTCTCTCTGGCTTCTTGGAAGTGCAATTTGACAGTCTCTGTGTGGAAAATGCTAACTGAATTTGAACACCAAGGCAGAATATACTGGTTTTTCTCTGTTCAGCATTGAGCCCAGGGGCTGGTGCTTAGAAAATGGCTACTGAGTGAATGAATGAACATTTACTGCTTCAGTCTCCTGAACAGGCACCTACTCTTTGGATGGCGTCATCAGTCTCCACGGGAGAAAGAAAAATTCTGGGATTTAAAGAAGAAGGCAGCAAGAGGACTTGGAAATCTTCCTATGCCTCCTCCCACAAAATGGATGGTCATTTTGGAGGCTAGATGCTTCAAGGACCCTGCCCTCTCCCTTGTTCCCACCCCAGATCCCAGGACTCCAGCCAGCAAGGGGGCAGACCTGAGCACAGTGCTGGGAGCCTGCCACCGCCTGGATGAGCTTCAGGGGCGGCTGGCCTGGGGCCCCCACCCAGATCAGGGTGCTGAATCTGCCCTCAGGGCGAGAGCCTGGGGAAATGAGACACAGGCCATTAGGGTGAGAGAGGACCTGAGTAGGGGACCCCAGGAGCCAGGAGAGATTTGGGGGCTCATGGAGGGTCTTGGTAGGGGTCTATGGATGAAGCTGGGCAGACTGAGGGACTATAAGTCATCCTGTCCCTCTGGCATACCCTGCTGAAAGTGGTAGAAAGGGAAGTCCTGGGGGATGATGGAAAAAGTAGGCAGAGCCAGGAGTGCCCCTGGGGGGTTGTTCCACAGCAGTGAGGGGTGAGCAGATGTTCCGAAGATCCGATCCTGAATAATCTGTGAAAAGACAGAGAACTATCCAGAGCGTGTGGCCAGTGGCCACACCTCCCCCTCCAGGCTCGGGGAAGGGCAGCTGCTGTCACCAGACCCCTGGGGTCACTCTGCAATGGTGTTCCAGAGGCAGCAGATGGTGGTGGGCTTGCTGCCTCCCTTTCCTTCCTCACTCACAGCAGACATCACCACAGGTCGTGACATTCTTTCCAGACTCAAACTCCCTCTCAACAGTTTCCTGGGCCAGCATTGCCAAGCAACTGGAGTCGGCACATACTTTGAAATCTATTTGCCACATCTGTCCCCTCTACAGATGGGTAAACTGAGGCCAAGACTGGAGAAGAAATTTGTCCAAAATTTCACAGCAAGTCTCAGATTCATGCCAGTATTTTAAGGAAGATCCCCAAATACTGGGGCAGAGGAAGTATTGGGAGAGAGGAGTAGGATGAGGGGGTGGGGCTCCCTTCGAGGAATCTCCCTCACCTCCAGCGTGGTGTGGATGACCTTTTCCACTGAGGAGAAGTAGGCGTCCCACAGAAACTGGGTCTGCTGACGCAGGGCAAGGACCCGTGCAGGGGACATCTCCTGGAGGGCAGCCGGGACCTGGGGTACAGAGGGAGAAAAGGAAGATGTGTGGGGCTATGTCAGGGCCTAGCTGACCCTGGGAAGAAACCTGGGGCTGGAGACCTGGGAACCAGAAGCCCCCTCCCCATAGTTCTTCAAGTGGGTTAGGAGTAGCAGCCACCCTTGGCCAGGTCCCGGGTAAGAGTTCGGGGGTCATATACAGCTGGGTTTAAATGCCACTGAGTAACCTGTGACTGTGGTCATGCTACTTAACCTCTCTGTTTCTTCATATGTAAAATGGGGATAATAAGGACCTCTCTCTGGGATGGTTGTGAGGATTAAATTAGATCACTGGTATTAGTACATTGTAGAGGCCTGATAAGTAAATGATATAATAGCTATTATTAACCCCCTGCTTAAACCATTCTCACATCTCAGGGGATTCTAGGCAGGCTCATGCATGTGCTTTTCAGAGCTGGGCAAAATTAGTTTCATTAGATGGAAGTCACTATATATTTGTTTTCCTACCCTAAACTCCACGGAGGCATTCTGATTTTGAAATTTGTTGTAGCTTTCACTTAAATTGGTTATTTAAGCAGTTGTGGACCACTAGAGCCAGGCCCATGGGGATTCTCTGGTCTAACATGCCATTGTAGAGTTGGGGAAACTGAGGCTGGGAGATAATCAGGACTTGCTTTCAGAACCCTTAGGAATTTCTATCTCTTGGCTCGGTGCCTGTGGCTCAAGCGGCTAAGGCGCCAGCCACATACACCTAAGGTGGCGGGTTGGAATCCCCAGTCCAGGCCTGCCAAACAACAATGACAGCTGCAATCCCCAGTCCAGGCCTGCCAAACAACAATGACGGCTGCAACCAAAAAATGGCCGGGTGTTGTGGCGGGCGCCTGTAGTCCCAGCTACTTGGGAGGCTGAGGCAGGAGACTCGCTTGAGCCCAGGAGTTGGAGGTTGCTGTGAGCTGTGATGCCATGGCACTCTACCCAGGAGGATAGCTTGAGGCTCCATCTCAAAAAAAAAAAAAAAAAAAGGAATTTCTATCTCCATCTGCTCCTGTGGGAGGCTCAGAAGGAAGGCTTGGTGCTAGGCAAATTCAGCAATAAACATGGATGGGGTAGGAGTGAGGATCGCGTTCAGCTTAGGGACTATGATTCTGGGGTTCCTCCCATGGGCAGGGCCCCAAGCTACCTGAAGTAGGAGCCTCTCATCAGCTATGATGGCTGCCTTGGTCCAGTCGATGACCTCAGAGAAGGGTAGCTCCCAGGGGGGGCTGAGAAGCACAGGGATGCAGCCAGCCTAGGCGGGGGCAGGGAGGTCAGTGGTGAGGGTCCAGCCCCACCCTGTCCATACTCACCCCTCCCAGTTCCAAGTCAGCAGCTGCTGCTATTTGGGGCAAGGGGCAAAAAGGAGAGGAAAACTGGGTTTGTTGGAGGGTGGGTATGGCAGAGTGCAGTTCTGCAGAGGGAGTGGTGAATGTGGCACAGGCACACCCTGCCAGCTCAGGAGTGTGGGGGTACAGAGGACACACTGTGGATGCTCAGACTGGCATTATACCTGCAGGGCTTGGAGGAAGCGCAAGGAGGCATCAGGCCGTTTGCCGGAGATGAGGCAGAAGGTGGCATTAGGCAGTGTTTCCCTGGAGTGGGTCCTAAGAGGACATGAAGAGGTCCCTGCTCGTATGTGATGAGCCTGGACAGATGCCCCTCACCCTGCCTGGCTCCCTCCGCAGCCCCCCTGCTCCCACCACACCTGCACCCTACACCTCTACTCCCAAATTCATGGTGTGCAAACACACCACATACACTGACACAAATACCCTCATACTGGCCCTGCAAATGGGTTAGGAGGCAGGGGCCCAGGACCCTACCACTGCTTCTGCCCTTGGTGGTCTTAGACACCTCCTTTGCCTTCTCTAGGCCTCAGTTGCCTCATCTGTAAAATGGGAGACAGCGGAACCTGATGTTCCAAGGCCCTATCTGACTTAGTCAGGCACATGTTTGCCCTCCCCCGACCCCCATACACACTCTCAGGCACCCCTTACCTGAGTAGCTTCCATGCCCAGCCCTATCCCCATGTGGACAGCTAGGCCCATGAAAGCCTTCTCTGTCATGAGGTGGGCTGGGCCCCCAGCCTGGAACCACACAGGAAGCTATTGCCTAGAGGCCCCCTTGCCCAGAGGACAGGCCTCCTCTGTTCCTCCCACCTCCTCCCCCAGCCTAGGGCCACACTCAGGCTGTGTGTGGCTGTGGGGGGGGGGGAGGCAGGAGTCACAGCCTCCTCAGAGCCACCTGGCTGGGACCACCCATCCAGGGACCCATTGCCTGTGACCCAGGGGGTTAGGGAGTAGAAGAAAGACCAGACAGGACCCCTGGGCTCATAAGCCTGCTTAGAGTGGGACAATGAGTAGGGCCCAGAGGGTCCCAGGACCTTCAGCCACAGCCTGTCTGGTTCTGAACCTGAACCTCCAAGAAGCAGACCTGGGAGTACTTAGGCAACCTTTGGGCCAACCCTCAGTGAACAGATGGGGAGACCGAGTCCCAGAGAGTCTCAAGGAGTGGTTCAGGGTCACAGAAACGGTGACCTTGCTCTTGGGACAGAGATAGGACAAGAATTGAGATGTGTCAACTTCTAACCCTGAGCCACCCCAGAGCTGCTGCCCAGGGGGCTCCCAGGGACCCCAGCATGATTTCGCCTCCATTCTATGCTCAGGTGTCCATCAGCTTCCTTGGAAGAAGTCACAGGTTAAATGCCAGGACATCTTCCACCTTGTTAAAAGCCACAGCACCAGCCAAGCAGACACAGCCCTCATCACCCCCAATAAAGCTCTAAGGAACTGAAAATCTCTAGGTTAAGGCTTCATGGAGCCCAAAGTGAGACCAAGAACTTGGATAAACTGTGCCCCTGATTCCCTAAAGCTCCATTGCTCTCTCCTCTGTGCCTTTACTTATCTTTTCTCTTTTGTGTCACCCTGAAGTGCCCCTCCCTGCCCTGCCAGCCTGGGGAACTCCTTCTATTCTGTCTGAACATCAAAGCTGAAACATTACCTCCTCTTGGAAACCTCCCTGCTCTCTCCAGAGATGGTTCTCTCTGCTCTTGCTTCCTTGTGTGCTACAGTAATATTGAGCCAAGCTGGCCTTTACTGAGCATGTGCTTTGCCCCAGGCACTGTTCTAAGAGCTTTACGTGCATTAATTAACTCACTTCAGTCTCACAGCAACTCTATGGATGGAAGGTATGTGCTGTTATTATCCCATTTTACAGACAAGGAAACTGAGGCCCAAGAGGTCACACAGCTCTTATACAGAGGACCCAGCAGGCACCTTGTGCAGCCTCTCTCTGCTTGAACAATGTATGTCAAACCATCAACTTGTCTGCCTCTCCTAACAAGACTGAGCTACTTGGGGACAGGGCTATACCTCCCTCTTCTCAGTATCCTAGCAGAGCACCTGGTGGGGAACAGGCACCAGTGGGTGCTAAATGAATGATGCTCGGTGTGGCACTAGAGAATAGATGTGGGCCCAGTGGACCGAATGTCTGGGAGGTCCAATTTCAGATTGGAGGTCCAGATTCTAGTACTGGAGCTGGCTGAGAGCTCAGATGGTGGGTGGCCTTAGGAGGTGGTGAGTTCCCCATCAGTAAAGGTAAGTAAGCAGACTGTGGGAAGAGAGAGTGTGAGCACTGATGAAGTCTTGGGATTCTCTCAATGTGTAAGGTATCTGCCACAAACTCAGGGCCTCGGTGCCCGAGGGTGGTCAGTGTGACTCTACCCATGCCTGCATTGTGACTTCCTTGTGTCCTAGACACGTTGGCTGTTCTAGCTCCTCCTATCATGAAAAAATTAAAAATTATATTTGATCACTGTGTTGGTATAAAAACAAATAATGTTATACAAAGAGGATATAAATTTCATGTGCAATTTACTATGTTAAACTATTTTAAATTACACACAAACTTTATGTCCACTCTGTATATTAAAACTTTTTCTTCTACCTTAAAAGTTCATTTATTTTTCTTCTGATTTTCAAAGAAATGAAAATGTCTTCATGGATCCCTAAAAGTATCATGGGCCCTTGGCACCTCCTGTGCCCAATGGATACAGGCTGGGGAACTTTAAAACATGCATTGAATTTCTGTTTAAAAAAATAGTGAAGAACGTATATATATTGCTTGTAGACACACAGAGTTTCTCAGAAAAGACACATAAGAAACTGAAAATGGTGTTTGGCTCCAGGCAGGAACGCTGGGTGGCCAGGAGACAGGGGTGGGAGGGAAACTTTTTACTGTATACTCTTTTGTACCTTTAGAATTTTGTACGATGTGAATGAATTACCTATTCATAAAAATAAATAAATAACAACTTAAATGGATGGAGACTTATTCCAAAGCAACAAGAGACTTTTCAACCAAAGTGGAAAAACGTGGGCTTTGGAGCCAGGCGCACAGGGTTTAATCCCAACTCCAGTGTTTCCAAGTACTTGATCACAAAGGAGAGGAGGACCCCAGAGAACATAGAGCCTTGTCACCAAAGGCCCTTGGCTGCCTCACTCTACTTCTCTGAGCCTCAGTTTCCTTTCCCCTGAAATGGGGATAATAATGCCTTCCCTGAAGGATGTACGAAATGATTAGTGATGACAGGTAATGTGTCTGGCACAGCACCTGGCCCAAGACAATCCCCAAATGTTAGTTTCCTCCCTTCCCCCTCTCTGGCTAGCTAAGTGAATGTGGGACAGTGGCAGGGACTGTGAATGGCCTCTTTCTCTGGCCAGCGCTTGTTTATTCAGGCTACCTCTCTCACTCTGTCCCTATATTGTCTGTCTGACCCAGGCAGCTGCCTAGCACTTCTGAGAAATTGAGGCTCAAGCTACCTTGTCACCCACCTGTAGGTAGGCTGAGGCCAGAAAAAACTCTTTGAAGTTCAGAAGATGACGAAAGGCTGACAGCCTCATAGCTTGGGAATAAACTTATTAAAAATGCTACTCAGAGGTAGCTACTCATTAAAAATTGCTACTCAATCCATGCTAGTTAGAAAACTGTGACCAGGCTGGACTCAGTGGCTCATGCCTGTAATCCTAGCACTCTGGACGGCCAAGGCACATGGATTGGTTGAGGTCATGAGTTCGAGACCAGCCTGAGCAACAGTGAGACCTCCCTCATCTCTATTAAAAATAAAAAAACTAGCTAGGTGTGGTGGTAGGTCCCTAAACTGCCTGTAGTCCCAGCTACTTGGGAGACTGAGGCAGGAGGAACGTTTGAAACCAAGAGACTGAGATTGCTGTGAGCTATGATGACACCATGGCACTCAACCCAGGGCAACAAAGTGAGTTTGTCTCAAAAAAAGAAAAGAAAAGAAAAGAAAACTGTTGCCAGTTCCACTAAGGTTAGATCCATCAGTAAATATTTAGTGAGCACCTACCTGCTACGTCAGATCACTAACTTTCAGTTTCTCAAACAAGTTCAGACTGCAACGCTTTCGGCTTCACCAATAACCAACTGCACTCAGTGATAACTAAAATCAGCCAAAAGAGGACCTTCCTGCAAGCACAAATACCTGAGTGTCTAATCAGACAACATTGTCACCAAAGGTGAGCTTTGGAGGCCTGGGGAGATCCCCAACTTTTCAGGTTATTGCTGAAGATGCCAGCTAAGGATGGGTCCTGGCAGAAGGGCCTGCCCCTGCTGTGAGGGCTGCCTGGAGGCCTCCACATGCCTTCAGGAGGTACAGGGCTTCCATTCCCACAAGAGCCCTCAGGCTGAGAGAAGCCCCAGGAGTCCCCATCAGAGGCAAAAATGGAGCTCGGCCACAGGAAGAATTCCTCAGAGGGAAGTGGAGCTCAGAATAGCTGATGTTTGTTCTAGCAAAGAACAAGCAGAGGTACCTGGGGGAGGGACACCAGAGTGACAGTTTCCAACTCAGGTCTGCTCTGGAGAGGATAGAGAGGGAACCTCTGCGGTGGGGGCCCTGGACAACCACGGAGGGCCCTCCATTCTTGCCTGCCAGCTAGCCTTTGGAGACTGCTGGTCTCCTGGACTTGCAGAGGGCTTAGGGGGCTTAGGGGTTAACTGCTTTATCCCATGAGGTGTGTTCCCTAACAAGCCCAGGTGGAGAGAAGTTTCTGCACAAGCTTACCAGCTCTCAGAGTCCCCTTCATATATAATTAAGCCCTTTCACTGTGGGGAAATTCTTCAGCGCCAACCTGCATCATATTTGCTATAACCAAAAGCTGTTTCCTTGGGAGTCTAATCCCCCAAATTAGGCACAGGAGCAGCTTCCAGCTACAACTAATCTCCATGACTCCTCTGAGGCAAATGATGGGGTTGATCATAAACTCTTGCTTAAAACTCAGAACTCGGTGGTACCTGTGGCTCAGGGAGTAGAGCGCCAGCCCCATATAGTGGAGGTGGCAGGTTCAAACCCAGCCCCGGCCAAAAACTAAAAAAAATAAAATAAAACTCAGAACTCTCATACGTAAGGCTTTGGAAATAGGTAATTCTGGATTAAAATACTGGGTCTACTAAGTTGGGGTGACCTCAGATAAGTCACTTAAGCTCTTTGAACTTTAGCATCTGGTACACAAACACTTAAATCAGTGGTTCTCAACCTGTGGGTCGCGACCAGTGAAAATAGATCCTGCATATCAGATATTTACATTATGATTCATAACAGTAGCAAAATTACAGTTATGAAGTAGTGATGAAAATAATTTTATGGTTGGGGGTCACCACAACATAAGGAACTGTATTACAGGGTCGCAGCATTAGGAAGGTTGAGAACCACTGACTTAAATGATAGCACTTCGTATTTTATTATAATCATTAATTATAAAAGTGCTTGGCATAGAGTAAGCACTATATACACATATGTTAAATAAAATATTAGGGTAGAAGGATTGGAGCATGGGAAAGGGAGTAAGTAGAAGTGAGTTGTGTTTTATGTTTTTAAAGATTCTCCCGGGAGGCCTGCACGGTAACTCACATCTGTAATCCCAGCAATCTGGGAGGCCAAGGTGGGCGGATCACCTGATCTCAAGTGTTCGAGACAAGCCTGAGCTATAGTGAGACCCCATCTCTAAAAATAGCTGGGCTTTGTGGTGGGCACCTGTAGTCCCAGCTACATGGGAGGCTGAGGCAAGAGGATCACTTAAACCCAAGAGTTAGAGTTGCTGTGAGCTATGACGCCAGGGCACTCTACCAGAGGCAACAAAGTGCAACTCTGTCTCAAAAAAAAAAAAAAAAAAGATTCTTCTGGGAGAACTCCAAAATCTGCCTTTGACACCCCTTATGGCGAATCACCATCTTGATGGAAATGCTCTCTACTGTCTAACCTGACTTCCTCCTGCTGCAATCCTATGATTTGCCAGAATCAGCTGGTTCTCCCATCTCAACCCTGCCCTCTATACTGCTCTGTAGGTTTGCTCCTATCACAGCCCCCCCTCCCATCCAGCCCCCAAGAGGAAAGGTTCACTTACAGCTCAGGTCCAGGGTCTTGTTTGCAGTGCCCATCCCAGAGGCAGGCAGAGGAGTTGGTGCCTGCTGTGCGCCACCCACCCCTCTCCTCTTCCAGGGCTAGCAGGGCTACCCCGGGCAGGGGGCTGTGCTGCCGCAGCTGGCCAGAAACCCCACCTTGTAATGGGTGGGCTTCAGGGAGAAGAGGGAGGGCCACATCAAAACCAGGCCGGAAGGAGTCCACTGTGGGGCTGGCCTTGGCCACCATAGCCTGTCCCAGCTGCAAGGTTCTGGGGCACAGGGCTGGGTGGAGACTAAGGACCAGATGGTTCTTGCCCCCATTCCATTGTGAAGGCACGGGGCCACATTCTCCAGCTGGGCTGTCCAGGCTGAGGAGTAGGTAGAGGCAGGCCTCAGCAGGGCTGAAGCTGTGGTAGCGGGAGCCCTCAATGAAAGCCAGAATCCTGCGATGGGTCTCAGACATTGGTAAGGCTGCTGCCGCCACTGGGTGCACAAATACCTTGAGACCATCACCCCTGCACTTCGAGGTGTCAAAGCAGGTTCCCCAGTTGCAGCTGCTACCGTGAGAGGCTCGAGGAGGTCGAGGGGCATCTTCTAGGAGTTCCCCCGATTGGGAGAAACTCTGCAGGAGCTCTGCATCCAGCCAGTGGGGCCAGCCTTGGGGAGCCCCTGGTCGAGGTCTGGAGGGCACTGCTGGGCGGAGAAGGGGGAGGCCTCCCAGGAGGACGAGGAGCAGCCAGGAGGCTGACAGTGCCAGCCAGAGGGACTTCCTTCTCCACGACTGCATGTGGCCACCCACAGCCAGGACTGTGGAAGCCAGGAAGCTGGGAGGCCTCTGCCAGCAAACAGGAGGAGCAGGGCCCTGAGGGCTGGGGACTGGAGCTGCTTCTAGTCCAGTGCTCTCATTGTACAGATGGGAAGACTGAGGCCCATCCAGAGCAAGTTGCCTGCCTCAGGTCAAAGAGCAAGTCGTCAGCCAGGCATGAGGAGGCTGGGTAGAACCCAGCTTTCTGGATTTCCCTTCCTGCCCAGAACTCTGCTTCCATAGACTTTGGACAACCAAGACAGCCTTTGCCCTTTAGCCAGGCCCCCTGACCCTGGGCACCACTCAGGCTGATGCAACTACTGTCCAGACTGCAAGTCTGTATCCCTCTGCTCTCCTGGCTGTGCCCCGTGACCTTGCCCTCAGCTGAGAGGAGGGCTGTCTGCCAGGCCATGGGGGACAACTCAGGGCTCCCATGGGATGATGTGGCCAGGGGGCAGGCTGGAAGGAAGCAGAGCTGGTCTTCCACTCCTCCTCTTGCCTGACAGTCCTTCTGCTTGCTGGCAGGCACTCCTGGGCTGTAAGCCCTGTGGCTGGAGCTAAAATTAGACCCTGTGCCCCATGTGGGCCATCAGGGTTAGCTGAGGTCAGGCCCTAAGGGCAGCTGGTATCTCCCGCTTAGGGGGCCAGGAGGGCTCAGAGTCCTGTTCTCTTCCACTCTGCTGCTGTCCCCAGCTCAGGTAGCTCAGCCTTTCCTTCCCCCAGCCCAGCAGCTGCCCTGCAACCTCTGGTTTGGAGCTGTCACATTGCTGAGGCCAGGGCTCCTGCCCCCGTGTCCCCTGAGCCCTGCTGTCGCCTCCTCCCGGTCCCTCTCCAGGCAGCATCTGGCTGGTGGCGATCTCATTCCTAGCGGCAGCCTGGCTCCTCCCCGACCAGTCCTGATTCGCTCCCAGCGAGGAGGCAGGGTCTCCACTTAACCCCTTCCAAACCAGTTTCCTCAATTGCTGGAAATAATAACCAGGAGGCACCACACCTCACTGTTGGCCAGGAGCTATCACAGCCTCTGTCTCTCTAAATCCTCCAGCAACCCTCCAAGGCAGAGGTTTACCCATTAATATGAGAAAAGTGAAGTTCATAGAGGGGATGGACTCTTCCTAAGGTGACCCAGCTAAGAAGTGGCAGAGTGGGGATATGAAACCTGAGCCCTTGTCAGCCTAGCTGGGTGTCTGAGTATGGGCAGTCTACAGATTAGTAGATGAGAAAGTCAACAAATAGTGAGGAATTAGGGGTGTGGGTAGGTGCCCCTACTGTCCCCAGAATTGGTTATCTCTACCTTCAGCACCCCCACCCCAAACTTGGCCAGCTTCCAGCCTTTGCTCCAGTCCACATGGGAAGTTCTTCCTGAACTTGATTCTCCATTAGTCCATGCCCCATTGAGGGACTCACCCCATTATTTCCTTGGGCTGTGCTCTGTGAGGGGTCAGGAACAGGTGGTGCTACTCACTGGAGGACTGCTGGGGTAATGGGGAAGACACAGGATCTCCGGCTGATGAGGGAAGACGGCAGACCTGGAGAGAAACTCTGCCTATATTCCCGACTGGCTGGGTGGCATCGGGCCTCTGTCCCCTTCTCTCTGTAACAGGCATGATAATGTCAGTATGAGATGGTTGCCAGGTTAATCCCAGGCCTATCCCCTGGGGGCTCACAACAAGTGGTGGCTTCCTTTCCCCTGCTTGCCTTGTCCCATCTCCCCAGGGGCCCTCAACAGCCTGGGAGTGGGGCATAGTCCATACACTATGTAAGAGCCGACATCCACATCATGCCTACTATGTGCCAAGCACGCTGTAAGTGCTGAGGTAGTGTCAGCTCACACTGCCTTTCCCCAGCCCAGTGAGGGAGACACTATAATTATCCACAATTTACAGATGGGAAAACAAGCCCAGGGAGCGTCAGTGACCTGCCTGCTTTGCCCTCAGCTTAGCCAGGATTTGGACCCAGGTGGCCCATCCCTCTAACCACTGCTCCATGCTGCCTCTTGACTGAGACAGACACTGCTCTGCATTCAGAGATCACCTTCCAGGGACAATGAGACCAGCAACCAGACAATTACAGGGTAAAGGGTGGGGACAGGGTGGGGTTAGGGGCTCCCTAGCCCAGGAGTCAGAGAAGACTTCTGAGCTCCTGCAGGTCAGATTTTAGAAATAGGAAATAGCAGCAGTGGAGGCAAGGACAGCTTTTTGACTGGTGCAATCCAGCATCCTACAAGTCACTCACTCATTCATATTGAGTGAGCCCCTGTTATGGGCAGGGCAGGTCCTAAGGGCAGTGAATAGAGCAGGTAAAGTCTCACCCTCCTGGAGCTGACCTTCCAGGAAGGGGAAATGGGTAAGAAACAAGGTGAATCAATTCAGCGTCTCACAGGCTGTTTGGCAGTAACTGCTATAGAGACAGGCAGGGGTTTTGGTGTTAACTGGGATTAGGGCAGGCCTCCAAATCCCCTGAGAAGGCGAAGGAAGAGATGCAGTGGGATTCCTTCTAGGGGAATACCACTCCAGGCAGGAGGACTAGCCAGGGCACAGGCTCGGAGAGGGAGCCTACCTGCTGCCTGAGGGCTTAGCCCTAACACCTGCAGGCTCCAGGGAGGAGGCTGACAGTAGGATGGGAGGATGAGGGGGAACCAGCAGGGAGCTGGGTTGGGCCAAGTGTAGTCCCAGTGAGCCAAGAAGACTTGGATTAGGGTGGTAGGGGTGGAAGGAGTGAAAAACAAGTTGGATTCTGGATATATTTTGAGCTAGGGCAGAACAACAGATTTGCCGATGGATCAGATGTGAGGTTTAGCCTAAGCCACAGGCAGGGTGGAGTTGTCACTAGATGAGGCAGAGAGACTGAGGGGAGCAGTTTCGAGGAAGAAGATCAAGAGTTCCATTCTGAGACAGCAACTCATTTACCCTCCTCATCCCTGGCACTAACATGTATAAGTGTCCAAGAATGCCTTTGAATGAGTGAGACACTGGTTGGGTGGATGGCTAGGAAGTGGGTGGCTAGGAGGCCAAGGCCAGCAGGTTAGGGGTTTGGGGGGATACCTGACCCTGCTCAGCTTCTCCACCCCCAAGTCCTGGGCACCCTGGCTGGCTATGCCCATATATCTATATCTATGCACTCACATTAAGTCTTATCGAAACTTCATCCCCCCAGGGCAGGCTCTCAGGATAGCTGGGGCCTGGGCTTGTCTGGACTGTGATTGATATGGTGGCCCTGGGGCTTGGATGCAGAAAGAGAAGGCAGGGCACCCTGGCAAACAGGATTGAGCTGGGCTCATCTTAAAAATAGATCTCAGGGGCGGGGCACAGTGGCTCAGGCCTGTAATTCTAGCACTCTGGGAGCCTGAGGTAAGAGGATCACTTAAGGCCAGGAGTTTGAGACCAGCCTGAGCAAAAGCAAGACCACATCTCTACAAAAAATAGGAAAATAGGCTGGGCATAGTGGTGTCTGCCTATATTCACAACTACTTAGGAGGCTGAGGCGAGAGGCAGAAGGATCCCTTCAGCCCAGGAGTTTGAGGTTGCAGTAGGCTATGACGATGCCACTGTACTCTAGCCTG